TCGGCCGAACCTGCCGCGTCAGCAGGTAAATAAAACTGGCCCGGCCCGCCAGGGTGCTTACCCTGGCGAGCCGCGTGCCGAACGTTGCCGACCCCTGCTTTAGTGCATTAGTCTCTGATAAGAGCAACAGTTTTGTTTTCAGCACCACAAATGCCAACTATAGGCTCACAGTTCATCTCAGCAGATTCCCAAATAGGACCAAAAGTGTTACTCACTCCCACAAAATAAATGAGCTCCACAAAATCTGTGTAGTAGTATAGTGTGCCACTATGCCAAATTAATTAACTGGAGTTTATGTTGTGATTATGTACTGATTTGACTCAAATGATAGATCTTTATAGAGATAGATGTATTTCCTAAGTCTAAAGTTCTTCTCCATCCCAGACCATATGAACTGAAGCAACCAGCACAGACATAGGTAAATTATTATGGCAGCTTCCATTATACTTTATATAGTCCAAACTATTGTGCTGTCTTTGGGGACTGGTATTACTTCCAGTCTCAGTCTTCTGAGTAATCTGGGGAATCCAACGCTGCCTGCTCTCCTGTACTGCATTCTAGAATGCTCTGGTAAATTGATCTTGGAGATGAAACCCCAGAAAGGCTTGAATGAGGGAAACAACCTTTCCCCACAGCTTTAAGTGGTGCTTCCTGTTTCTACAACAAAGGGAAGGGGTCAGAAGGGGTCAAATGGTAAATTGAAGCCTTGCTGAAATTTCTAAAACTTCTCATTCCTGTGACATCCAGTCACTAGAATGGGGAGAGAAAAAAATATACAAGAGGAGGAGAACTGGAAAGTGTGTATAATCTGCGCTCAATATATTCAAAAGTGAAAACAATATTTTATGATGTGTGGAATGTGACAGAAAATAATATAAAGTCATTATGTAGATCAATGGTACCTCCTCACTTGGAATACTGTGTTTAGTTCTAGTCACCCAGTCTAAAAAAAGATACAGGAAAAAATAGGGTCCAGAGACAGATACCAGTAATAATTAGAGGCATGAAGAAACGTAGGCATGGAGAGAGAATAAGGCCTTGTCTGCACTACAAGGGAAATTTGATCTAAGCTACATGAATAGCGTAACTCAAATCGACGTAGCTTAGCTCTACTTACACACTACACGATGTCGACGGGAGATGTTCTCCCATCGACTCCTCCTACTCTTCTTGATCCAGTGGAGTACAGGAGTTGATGGGAGAGTGATCTGCGGTCGATTTAGCGGGTCTTCATTAGAATGAATGAAGACCCGCTAAATCGACCACTGATGCATCGATCGCTGCAGCATCGATTCCCCAATAAGTGTAGACAAGCCCTAAGAAAACTAGGGCCTGGTCTACACTAGGAAATTCAGTAAATATAACTACTAAACCCCTGAACGACACAGTTAAACCGACCTAACTCCCAATGTAGACAAAGCTAGGCTGATGGGACAATTCTTCCTGAGGGAGGTGGAATACCTACACTGACAGGAGAAGCCCTTCCGTTGGTGTAGCTGCTCCGCTGCAGTGTTTTAAGTGTAGACAAGGACTTGGACTGGTTAGTTTAGAGGAGATGACTAAGAGGGGACATGATGGAGGTACACAAAACAAGGAATAGCATTAGAGAAGGTAAAGTGAGGTGCTCCTATTTGCCTTTTCTCTTAATACAAGAACCAGGGGACGTTAAAATGGAAACCAACTACATTATGGTCCTTTCTACATTAGAGAAATATGCAACTTCGATGTAGTTTTGCCAGGCCAAACCCCTAGTGAGCACACTGCACTGATATAAGGTAGAGCTTATGCTGGTGCAATTTTCTTGGGTAAGTGTGTCTATGTTAGGGATTTACCCTGGTGTAACTAACTACATTGATATTATTACACCAGTGCAAATTTCTCTAATATAGACAGGACCTATCTCATTTCTGGTGTCAGACTGGTGAATTAGCAGCGCAGTCCAATGTTACACTGACTGATTGGATTCAAGAGAAAGATTGTACATTGGAAAATATCTACATTAAATATATTTTTTTAGCCCCTAGTCACTGGAGAATGGGTTAAAGAGTCAGAAATTATTTTTGGGATCCTCTTTTGTTCCTTTTCCTCAAGACAATTGTTTTTTCAAGGGCTTGTTTTTACATCCCACACAGTGAATATTAGAACCCCACAAACAAAGCTATCTTCACAAGTTATCCCTTTGGGATGCCAAAGGCTAAATTAACCCTCTATAATGATATGACCACCCTTTTTCAGAAACTAAGCGCACAAGAAGGAATCACTCTTTCACTTTTTTCCAGCTCTATCCTGCCCACTCTAGTCACTGACACAATATGGTTTAACCATCCATCTGAACCAGACCCACATATAGTTTCATAAATAGCTCTTATGTCCATACTACTTCCATGTAAATAGCTAAATAGAACCTAATAAATTCATGAAATTGTTTGTCTTTTCTCCCAGACACGGTAGGGACTCGAAACACTGACTCCTTTTGCTGTGAAGGAAACAACTGCCTGATAGAATGCAACATTTTTTATTAGGTGTGTGAATCACCATGACGCACAGTTATTGAAATACCATCAAACAGCACAGTCTCATCAAATTACATTTAGCTGTTTGCCTTGGCAAACAGGAGACAGACTTACTAAGATCACTACTTTGGCCAAGCATCATATGCGTTAAAATCTGTGGCAAATTATAGCTTTTTCTCAATTCTCTTGCAAGCACATGGGGCTTTTCTATAGCATGTTGCCTCAGGCTTATGACTAATTTGGAAAAAACAAACAAACAAAACACCCCAAACTGTCCTTTGACTACTCTTTGTGCGTAATGACTTGATTGAGTTCTGAGTATGGGAGGTGAGCACATTTGCTAAGCTTCATATATAGCTTTCATTAAATTGGGTCTGCAAAAGGTATTTAAATTAAACTTGGTATGAAGGGGTGTACCAGGCATTTGATGCCTCCCTGCTGGAGGCACTCCCACCTTGACACACCGTACCCAAAAGAAGTACCTTTTGGGAGAAAACAGCAGTCAGTTTAGACCTCCAGAAGCTGCCTAGAGAGACCACGCAGGGTCAGCTGCTAGCAGAACCAATGAGAATTGGTCTTCTAGCAGCTAGACGAGCCAGGCCCAGCAGGCAATGTAAAAAGGGCTGGTGCTGCCTTCTGGGGGCGGTTCTGAGACAGAAGAAGAAGGATCTCCTCTGTCTTAATCCAAAACCCAAGGAATGCCAAGTTTGATCTTCTCTGGTTTTATTGGAGAACCTTCTGGCTGTCTCAAAGCCTATATAATGTATTATCGTATACCTTCGATAGTGGTGTTGCATATTTAACAAAAATGTATTGTCCCCAAAATGTTTATTAGTCGTTGAAGTTAAATAGCTGTTGACAAAATACAAAGATGGTTAAATAGTCTGGCTAAGAATTCTTTCCCATTTCTGTTGCTCAGGTTTCATTCTCTTGACTCTTGGAAAGCACTAACAGATTTTGGAAGCTGAAACTGTAGAATAATAAATGTTTCTTCTTTTTCTGTGTTCTAATACTAATGAAGGTTTCCTCTTCTGCTAACTCCTATTTTTTATAGGTTGGTCAACTGCACCTGGAAGGAGATTTAGGCTTGAAAAACAAGCACTAATTGATTGTGAAGCCCAGCTGGGCAGGGGCAGGGGCAGGCGCAGGCTGAACTTGTATAAAGCCACCAGGATGAGAAGCAGAAGGGTGCTGCAGAGGAAATAGTCCGCAGTCACTCCCTGGGAGAAGGGAGGTGTGTTTGAGGCTACAGAGTTTGGCAAGTAGTCAAAGAGGGAAGTAGGAAAGAGTCTAGGAAAATAGTAACAGGGTTTTGGAGCAAGCAAACAGGAGTTGCTAGACAGAGTGGCTACCGGCCACTAGGGAAGTGGCATAGGACCCAGCGTTGGAGCAGAAGACTGTCTGAAACAGCATATGGACAGCTGATACAGTGGGCCTTTGATACCCTGGAAGGGGCAGATTAGACAGTGACTTGCCTGGAGGGCTGAGTCATGAAGAGGGAGCTCCATGAGTCCTGGAGAGGGAGGAGGAATGTGGTGTGAACAACTGTTGGCAGGGGGCATTGGACCTGACTAGTGCTAATCCTCAGATGTTGCCACAAAGAGGGGTCCAATGCTGAGTAAACCTCATGGTAAGCCCTCACAGATCTGCGAGTAAGTGATGTAGAAAATAAATTGGACTTAAAAGTGAAATCTCTCTTCAAGTATATAAAATTTTTATAGAATTTTTATTATCCAAAACTTTTTGTATCCAATAAAACTGTTGCGTAGATATTTAGGAGTAAATCATGGCTGGCTGTGAGGGGAAGACAGCACAAGGAAACCCTCTGTCCCTTGCAGTGCACCTATGCAGGAGACAGCCATAATGTGGTTGGTTGTGCTTAGGAATGCAAGCAGTAGGAGTCTGCTATAATGCTTTAGGAAGCACTTATTGGCCAAGAGGGGGTGAGGGTGTGGAATTGTCCTTCCTATGCACCAGTAAGCACTAGCAGGTTTTCACTGATGGGAGTGCTGCCTCCACACTTTTAGAAGTGCCACAGCTGAGCACACTTACCCTAGTGCCCTTGGAGGTTTTGTGCCTTATGGACAGGGCGGGCTCCCGGCACCAGCGCAGGAAGCAGATGCTTGGGGCGGCCAATGGAAAGGGGCGGCACGTCCGGATCTTTGGCGGCAATTCGGCGGTGGATCCCTCAGTCCCTCTCGGAGGGAAGGACCGGCCGCCGAAGTGCCACCGAAGAATGAAGCGGCACAGTAGAGCAGCTGCCAAAGTGCCGCCGATCTCGGCTTTTTTGTTTGTTTGTTTGTTTTCTCTCTTCGCTGCTTGGGGTGGCAAAAAACCTGGAGCCAGCCCTGATTATGGAGGCAAAACACCTTTCTCTCCCACTATGGGAGCAAAGTAGGTGCTTCCTATATTCCAGGATTCCAGAGGCTTGCATCGCCATAATTGGCCTGTAGCGTCTAATAACCTAAAGAGTGGATTTATCACATCCTTAAAACCACACAAGAACTCTTGAATGGGTGATTGTCATGATGCATGTAATCAGTCCATCTGATTAAAACAACTGCAAACTACAGGCATAAATGTACAGCTTGTGTTCTGCTTTACCTTCCCTTGTTGACCATGAGCCACACCCTGTTTGGAACTCTATTCCAGAGGTTCTCAAACTGTGGTCTGTGGACCACCAGTGGTCCGTGAGCTCCATTCAGGCGGTCCGTGGATAGTTCCTTCTAAGGTGTGCGCCTGGGCGGCTGAACACAAGAGAATGAAGGGCCACCCACCTAATTAGTGGAGCCGTGCAGGTGTGGCTTCACTAATTAGGTGCCTGGACCCTGGAGAAGATGCACATGTAAGGTGAGGTGATGGCCTTTGGAGGAATAGGAGGTAGGGGGGAGGTGGGGGAAATAGAGGTAGATGGGGAGGCAATGGGGTGAGAAGAGGGGGTGAGGGGAATTTGGGGCATGCAGGGCTGTGGCGGCCAGAGAAAGAGGCAAATTTCCCCAGCTCCAGGGCTGCGGCTGCTGGGGAGAGACGGCCCTCCTTCCCAGCCTCAGCAGGGGAGAGAGGGAGACACCCCCCCCCTTCCCAACCTCAGCTAGGGGGCTGCCGCATGGGGGAGAGAGGGAGCGACCCCCCCACACTCTTTCCTAGCCCCAGCTCAGGAGCTGCTGCGGCAGGGGAGAGAGGGCACATCCATCGCATCAGAAAGGTAAGACTACAGATATTAAAATGAGTTGTGTGCTTTTATTTGTAGAACAAAAAAACCCATTAATTATTATTAAGTTTTTTTTATATAGCGCTTTTATCCAAAGTGCTTTACAATAGTTAGCTAACGGTACAAACAACATTTGGAAAGATCATTAAGTGGTCCACCGAGACCCTCAGCAATTTTCAAGTGGTCCACGAAAGAAAAAGTTTGAGAACCACTTGTCTATTCGCCATGCTCAAATGCGAATAATTCTTGGCTGAATAATATATTGTAAGTAAACATCAGTACAACAATGTTTTGATATTTTTATTTTTCTAATCATTTGTTTAAATTCTTTACTATCACAGTACGATATGAAAGTTTGCCTAATTATCTAAGTAGGAAATGCCAAAGGTGGGGTGGGGTGACCCTGCGGTTAGTACCTGTGGCATCCTAGTCAGGACTCTCTTTTACAGTTTTTACTCCCCCACTGAAATCAAGTAAGGATGGAGTAAGGGCTACACTATATGAATGCAATACATCACTAGATAGGCTGTACATTTTTTATTTTTATGAATCATTATGGGGATTTAGTAAGGGCCTGCTCCCAATGGGAGTGGCACTAGCTTAGAACAAAGGTTGGTGGGGGTATGGGATGTACAAATGTTCTTATATTATCCCTTCATACCATTTTGTAGGACTCAAAAAGGCAGTAAACATACCAATTACTTGCATGGGTGGGTCCACGTCTGCTGTGGCTTCTTCCAACAATGACAGCAGTTTGGCTGATATTTGATGGACTGATTCAATGTTGCTAAACAAGCCATCCACGTCAAACCTAACAATCTGATGGAACACAAATATTGAGCAACAAATGATAGAAGCAGAAGGAGGGACACTGAATAGTACAGGTTTTTTCCTGTTTAGCCTCTGAAGTGTTCAAAACTCCAAGACATGCCACTTTTGCAAAAGCCTATGTAAACATCCTTGCTGCAATTTCAAGGACACATGTGCAGTGTTTTAATTAATACAGCTGGGCTAAAGCAGTTAACAAGGGGCACTTTATCAAGTGTATTTAAACTTATTCTGAACAATTCCTAAAGGGAATATGTGTGTCTTGGAGAGAAGTAAATATTATTAGCTAGCTAAAGGAAGAGCTGTAGCTGGCTAAAACGTTTACTTATTTCATCATAGAGAAAAAAAGACAGTACAACTGAAAGTGACAATTATGAGAGAATCTGATCCCTTTATCATGTTACCCATAAAGACTACATAAACTGAGCCCTGGTTGTTTGTTTACATAGGTGCCAAATATCAGGCAAATAGCCTTTCTGGACTAGAAGATGCCATTTTATGTGAGGTGATAGGAGTAAAATCAAGGCAGTGTATTTTGGCTAGAATATTTATGGTTATTAAAGAGACAAGGTGGGTGTGGTAATACTTTTTATTGGACCAACTTCTGGCCCAAGAGCTCTTCCTAACCTGAAAGCGTGTCTCTCTCACCAACAGAAGTTGGTCCAATAAAAAATTACCTCACCCACCTTGTCTCTAATATCCTGGGACCAACATAGCTACAACAATACTGCATATGTAGATTTATGCTTAGTCATTAACATAATCTGTGGGCCAGACCCTCTGCTGATGCAAACTGGCACAACTTCATTGACTTCAACGAAGCTGAACCAACTTACACTAGCAGGAAATCTTAATACATAGGGCAAAATTATCTCACTGCTTATTTTGAAATAGGAAAAAAAAAATTTAAATATACTTTTCATACTGGCAACTTGCTTCCATGGACAGAGGGACAGTGATTAAGGTTATGGAACAATTAGAGTTACCCAGTATGTGGAAAGGCAGAAAACTAAAGGCAGTGTTGATTTTGGCAGATATGCTGGTTCTTCTGAACATGCCTATCCATTAGTAATAGAACTGCGTGTTTACACAGCAGCTTACAGAAAGAGTCCAGGAGAATCAAATTGCATGTTACAGTAACAGAATCAACATCATGTTTTAATTGCTTGTGTAGTTAATTTCTGATTATAGAGATTAACAACATTTTTGATCCATTAGGAAATGTGAAAGATTCATCTATAGCTCAATTTTCTAGACACTATTTTTTTCCCTGTTGAAGCAGTCTGCCCTCAAATAAAAAACAAGCTTTCAAATGTAGTTATTCACCTCCAAAAATAATCTTAAAAGCATATGACATTCTTAAAGCCTGCTTTAAAAAAATGCAGATTATATTAAAAATGTAGGGTTGTGATCTTATTTTTATAAGCTTTTGTCTTTTAACAGTGGATCTCTGATATCTTACCTAATGCAATGTGTATGTGGTATTCAGAAATACACGGGCACATAATGACAAAGGCCCAAATTGGTATATGTGCCTAACTGCTAAAAGTAGCAGACAATGGAGAAAATGTTTTCAGTATGAAGAGCAGCAAATGGATACATAAGGCGGTTCCAAATGCCAGGAGCTGCAGAGGAGAAAGCTCTCACATCAACATTGGCAAGACTGTAATTGATGAGTGCAGCTAGTGAGGAGAGGAAGAGAGACAAGGAGTTATTTTGTCCTCTCAGTAACACCAGCAGGTGCCAGGGTCTCTAAGGGCTTGTCTACATGGTGCCAGCAAAGCACATAAGAGCACTTTACAAATCACACTCTTCTAATGTGTGTGCTACAGGCCCTACTGGCGCAGTACCTTACCTTATAGAGCACACCAGCAGGGTCTACATCAGGCTGTTCTAGAGCAACATGTTAGAGTGTTTCACAAATCACAACCCTCTAATGTACTTTGCCATGCCTAAAATAGGTAGGATTCCAGGAGAGGTGGAGTCAAGGCAGTTTGAAAAATAGTTTAGCCCAACTTAAGCAGCCAAACTGTTTCATATGGAATCATATATACACAGTTCAGATAATTGGTTAATGACCTAGTGTGGATTCTGAGCTGTGCTAGTAGCATATACCAGCTGCCTGGCCTGGTAGGCTGTGAGGTAGGAGGACAAGTTAAATTTGTCTGCCAGAACCTGTTGCACACCCAGCATATGAGTGCTCCTGCCTGCAGGGAATGCTGGTACTCCAGCACACAGTTTGCCCAAAACTGCAAAGGTTTTGGGGGGAAATGTGCTCTCTCTGAATAGCAGCCAAGCAAGTTTGAAGTTTCTGTGGAAGAGAAGAATGGGTATAATCTGAACTGCAAGACCTGCAGGAAAGATGTAATCTGATTCATCCTGCTTACATGTAGCTTCACTATCTAAAATGCAAATACCTCAGGACTCACTGGGTTGCCTTGCCTAGCATTTTCCCACAACAGCTGTTCAAGCAACCAGGATGAGTTTGTTTGAATAAAAGCTGTCTTCAAGGGTGAAATTCACCACGGTGTGAAGGACCATAACATTCAAGCCCCTTACTGGGGAAATTTGTATAATGGAGCTTCCATGGTGATGGGAGAAAGCCAGGGGAGGGGATGTGTAATCTGTGATTACACAGCAGGCTGCTCAAGCAGCATGGAGGAGCTGCGGATGCTATTCTAGTTCATAGCCTGGAATAATGGGCATGGGGTTCAGGGTGAGGAGGTCTGAGCTGCAGTCCTGTTTCTGCCCCATTTATTCCAGCTTTATGCAGGTGAAATGAACTTCACCCTGAAAGCCTTGAGCATTTAAAGTATTCCTGCTTGCCCTCCCTGCCGCAAGCCCCACCCCCTCAAAAAAGTCATGCCTAGAATTGTACCTGGCACCATGCCATTCCTGCATATCCCTTGGCAGACATTTGTGTTTATTGTTGATTGTAGACAGAGCAGTGGTAAATACAGATCTGTGTCAAATCAGCCTTTCCTCCAAAAAACAAAACAAATAAACCCAACACTTTCTTACCTGCTTGTTTCTCAAGGGCTGAACCACTTCCCTGATGCACAGCTCCAGGTCATTGAGGTAGTCTTTCTCTGTCTGCACCAGTTCTGCAATGATTTTTACTCTCTTGGCCATCATTCGCCTGGTCAGCTGCTCTTCATTCTCCTGCAGTGAAGTGACGGGTGACAAGGACCCAGCTTGTGGGGCCATCTTTTCTGTTAAAATTTATTACAGAACACTTGTGAGAACTGTAGTGTGAGAACCTTTATTCCCACTGTCATGCCTCTGGTTTGAGTCACTGATACATGTTTAGTCTATTCAGAGTCATCGAAGATGCTTGGTTTCAGAGTGGTTTCAGATGCTTGTTTTACCCACGAAAACTTATGCCCAAATAAATCTGTTAGTCTTTAAGGTGCCACCGGACTCCTCATTGTTTTTGTGGATACAGACTAACACGGCTACCCCTCTGATACTGTGGGAATACTGTGGACTGAGCAGCATAGCTCCTTCCAGGGTTTGCTCTGTGTTAGTGCAGGGGGAGAATATAGGGTCAGAAACAATGCTAGTGTCCACTGAAGACTCCCCCAGCCACATGGGCAATGAGGGGAGAAGTATATTCAACAGAGTAGCTACATAGGAATTACTATACAGGATCAGGCTAGTGGTCCATTTAGTCCAAATAACCGGTCTCTGAGTACCCAGTAGCAGTTGCTTTGGTGGAAGAAATAACTGCCAGTGGCAGTTATGGGATAAGGCTGTGGTCATCTGGGGCAGGTTACTATTTTAAATTTAGGCTGGGACTTTTGAAAGAGCTGAAGGACTTAGATACATATCTCCCATTTAAAATTATTAGCATTTGCGCATTTGACTCCTTTAGAAATAAAATCTTGGCCCTAGATTAACTCTTTGGGGCAGGAAAAATGTCACTTCTTATGTAAGATGAAGATTGCGTTTAACTGAGCCTCACTGAAATAACCTTTGCCCTGTTAAAAAAGATTAATGTGAGGAGATTCTGGCTCAGGGATACAGGAAGTTGTGCTACGAATTCATCTGTCCATGATGATGATGAAATCTGTAATTCTATCTGAATAGGTTCCTTTGGACATTGCTGAGAAATTCTAGGAGAATGAGGTCAGCTGTGATATCCAGTAACAAAGGATCCAAAGGACAGGAGATATGGGGATGTGGCCACTCATGACTATTTTCCCTTATAATAAACCTAAAATACCTATTTTTATCCCAGACATTTGGAAATGTTCCTTTGATATTGATGAGTCATATATATGTGTTACAGGTAGAGAAGAAAGAGAATTTGTCTGTAATGAGGTTCCTTCCTTTCACAGGTTCGTAAGGCATTTGGTTTGCCAATCTGGCAGATATATTGTGTGAGCTGTGTAGACAGGTTGTGTATTTTATCTGTAGGCACAGATCTACCTCTTTTTCACAGGAAAAAACACTTAATACGAAGAGAGACTTTGGAGGGTGTTTAAGATACTGCTAGCCACAAGATGGTGTATAGAACAGCAAAAAAATGGACATACCATTACTGAGTATCAGTGCAATACTCATATAACAGTTTGACAGCAGAGAGACTTACAGTTGAGTGGCAATACACTGGAACCCTCTATTGCGACCCATACTCTTATGCTATTTGTGTCAACATCTTGTGTACACCCTATTGTCTAACGAGCCAATAACAAGATGTATCTTTTATTTTTGTGAGATGATAACCAATATTTAACATTCTGTAGTTTATGAATGAACTGTTTAGCAGGAGAAGAGTCATAAACATCCAGCAATGCCTGCATAAGACAATGAAGAACTATGTGTCTGATTCTTGGGATAATGTTTGTGAGAGAACCAACAAGCTTGCAAGATGGAATATTCTGAGTTGTTCATTGTCACGGGTCATAAATTGTTATTGATCCGACATGTTATCATCATCTTCTATAATTATGCTGAGTGCTGACCCTGGATCTTCAGAAATGGCAGTTGTTTTGCTAATCTTACCCTCATTATATGACATACTTACTAGTAAGCCTGTGTGGCCATGGTTTTTTTTTATCAGAGCATTTCTTTGAAAATATCAAAATTGAGGCAAACACAAAGGATGAGGCTGAATAAATTTGTAGACCTATTCAGTTAGGCACTTTTCTGCTTAAAGTTTTTTTTCTCCTCTTGGGCAATCATTATTTCCACCATTGAGCTTCTCAGCCTTGATGTGCAAATAGAAGAGGGGTGATCAGGAGGGGTGAATGTTTTCTTCTTCAGGTTGAAACGTTGCCATCAAAATGGCAAACTAGGCAAAGGAGGTTTCTCCTCTCCAGGCCCAATTGATCCAGATTTTTAGGCCAAATTCAGCCCTGATGTGAGCAGGTGCAATTTTACTGATTTCAGTGGAGCTGCATCCATTTATAATACCCATTCATCATAGATGCTGCAAAGTGGAATAAATGAACAGGCTGTTGCTATACCTAGCAATTGGCCCACACCGGTAAAGGGGAGAACAAAGGGGTCATTTGTACTTTTCATGGCCTCCTTCCAATTACTTCTCATTTCCCAGCTAAAAACATAGGGCCAGAGCTTTCCGTCTGCTCCTTCTATGCAATAGTGCATTCATTTTTTTTATAGAAATCTTGATTTGTAACTATATTTAAAACTTCAGAGTGAACCACTGAAAATACTGCAGAATTGAATCCATTTAAGTTCTCTATGTAGTGATCTCTGCACAAAAATCAACATTTCCATTGAGGTGGCATGTGAAAATAATTTATCTACCTTGTGAATAAAGCACCAGACAACATGGAAAATCTCGCTAGTATCACTCTGTCTGGCTATCAGGATTAATAGGACATTGTTAGAAATGTGAATGTAAACAGACTTATTGAAGAGAAACATTCTAATCTTACACTAATTTTTTTTTTTTAATGAACAAAATAAAACTATTGCATCCTATTTTGGGCTTCCAGATGTAACACTTGAGTTATTATTTTGGTTTGTCATTCAAATTGCTTGATCAAATTCAATCCTTGTATTGTCAGTACTCACTTATTAGTCTTAATATATGGTACATAATATAGGTACCAGGAAATAACTACACTCAACCTCAATACAAAGAAATAGCTAGGAGAAGTTTCAGTAAATCTTGTTTTCTTTGTATTTTTGTAATTTAACTTTACATTTTTGCTAAATATATTTACTTTTTCACTTTGGATGTGCCTGCCTCTATACAATACAAGAGGGAGCTACTGAATCAATGATTATAGCAGAACTTGTGTTTTTATGTTCAGCTGATTGCTTTTGAGCTAACAGGGAGTTTCGTAAGGGAGTTCTCCAGGTGAAGGAGGAGCAATAAGGCACCCTTGGGGTAAGTGACTGTCTGTAGTGTGTGTGTGTTTGTGGGTTACTTGCTGTGTGCTGAGCTTGTGTTTGTCAGTCTGTTTGGTTGGTTGGTTGTTTGAAGGACCGTGTGCTGTGGCTGGCAGTTGGAAGCTGTGAGCTTCAAAGGAAGGTCTGAAAGCTAGAAGCCTCTGGTAATTGGCTGAGCCTTAGTCAGTGGGCGGGGCATTCATACAGGCCAGGGCTTCATAAAGCAGTGCACAAGCGACCTGGGAGCTTTTGCGACCAGGGGCTGCTAACAGGGAGTTTCGCAAGGGAGTTGGGAAGGAAGCGAGGGTCCCTTGCCGGTTCTATCTGTTTTCCCTTTATTCCCCTTAAAACCTATAAACCAACTACATTCAAAACTTCTTGCTTAAACAACCCTTTCAGCGGACAGGGGGCTGCAGACAGGGGAGTTTGAGAGGGAGTTTGACAGAGGGAGGCTTACAATGGTTAGGAAGACCCGAAACACCTGTGCCAGCACTGCTTCTGTCTCCTCCACCTGCGCCTGTAACCAGACAGAGCGCCTGAGCATGGATGCTTCTACCCAGATCCTGGTGTGGTTTTGCAGAGACTGTAACTTGCAATTTCCACTTACTGATATCCAGGCTGGGGGGACCATCCAATGTGAAAGGTGCCTGCTGTTGGAATCTCTCAGGCAGCAGGTGGGAGAGCTACAGGAGGAGGTGGCTAGGTTGAGGAGCATCCGAATCCACGATTAATTCCTGGACAGTGTCCATGTGGAGACAGCTGAGGTAGCTGTCCCAGTACACAGGACTGCTGATACACCACTGGTGGAGGAGGCGATGGCTCAGGGTGGACACTGGCAGCTGGTTACTTCTGGCAGCAGGCAGTGCTCCACCCCTGCTCCGAACCCTCCCGCTGTGGTAATAGGTAACCGTTATGCTCTTCTTGATACAGGAGAGAAGGAATCACCCCCGACAATAAAGGAGGAGAAGCCTCGTACCCCTAAGGCTGGGAGGTCTGCTGCCTCCACTGCGAATAGGAAACATAGGGTAGTGGTGGTTGGAGACTCTCTGCTGAGGGGGACGGAGGCGCCCATCTGTCGCCCTGACATTTCATCTCGGGAGGTATGCTGCCTGCCGGGGGCCCATATCCGAAATGTTACGGAGGCATTGTCGAGGATTATCCAGCCCTCTGACTACTACCCCATGCTACTCATCCATGTGGGCACAAATGATACTGCGAGGTGTGACACTGAGCGGATCAAGAGTGACTACAGGGCTCTGGGAGTACGGGTGAAGGAGTTTGGAGCGCAGGTGGTATTCTCTTAGATTCTTCCTGTCAAAGGTAGGGGCCCGGGCAGAGATAGATGCATCATGGAGGTGAATGCCTGGCTGCAAAGATGGTGTCGCCAGGAGGGCTTTGGCTTCCTTGACCACGGGATGCTATTCGAGGAAGGACTGCTAGGCAGAGATGGCGTTCATCTTTCAAGGGGAAAGACCCTATTTGGACACAGACTGGCTAACCTAGTGAGGAGGGCTTTAAACTAGGTTCGACGGGGACAGGTGAGCAAAGCCCACAGGTAAGTGGGGAACATGGAGACCTGGGAGATGGGTCGGAAACAAGAGGGAGTGTGGGCTATAATGGCAGAGAGAAAGGAGGGTCAGGGCAAAACTGGGAGGCAAGATTGAACCAGTATCTTAGATGCCTATATACAAATGCGAGAAGTATGGGTAATAAGCAGGAAGAACTGGAAGTGCTAATAAATAAGTACAACTATGACATTGTTGGCATCACTGAAACTTGGTGGGATAATACACAATTGGAATGTTGGTGTGGATGGGTACAGCTTGCTCAGGAAGGATAGACAGGG